TGAGCTTTGGATTTTGATGAGGATCCATATTTTGGTAGAGGAAAAGATGATTTTGATGGCACTGGTGATCCACATGTCAACCTTGTATGACCACTTTCCTTGCACCGACTACATGTCGATCTCTTCTTCTCTTCACCCTTAGACGGTATACGATTGTGACTTTTTGGTCGGCCAGGTAGCCTTCTGTCCATGGCTGGTGGCAAAACTGTTTGTAAGTCATCTGGTATGTCCCACTCAGAAGGATGTGGAATAGGGTAGACAATCTCGGCATAAGTCTGTCGATAAACTTCTGTAGTGTAGCAATCCATAGCGTATGCGCTTGAATCATCTTGGTTTAAATGAAGAGCAACTTTTATAACATGGCCACACGGATAACCAGATGTTTGCCATTTCATACAACTACACGTCTTTGCATTTAGATCGACTAGCCCATTTAAGTTATTATCCAGTACTTGAAACAAAGTGTTTGAACATGGTTCAACTCTCCATGACGTTGACTTCACAACACGTTTCGTTATCTTTTTTTCAGTCCATGGTGTAACACGATGTTCCAATGTTCCTGTAAATTTAAATAAACAATACTTAGTAAAATATATAAATATGATAAGTTACGAATTCAAAGAAATAATACCTGCATGGTTTCTTTTCTTGTAGTACCACTGTTGAATAGAGGCTCGAAAAAACTCCATTAACATAGTAATGGGTAATTTCCGGGAATGACGACTTAGAGCGTTGATTGATTCTGCACTATTAGACGTCATGAAACCATATCTTGCTCCAAGTTGATGTACTCTTGACCATCTTTCAAACCCGACATCTTCTAGTGTTTGAGCACACTGAGGCAAAACACGTCTTAAACAATTTATATGCTTATTGAAATCCACTTCCCGATAAGCTTTTACAGCCTTCCAGTATGTCCATTTGTGCTTTTTTATACCAGCAGACCTTGATTTTAGATTTCTATACAAATGAACACCACAAAGTCCATGAAAAGCATCTGGGAAACACCTTCTAACAGCGTTGTCAATTGAGTTTGCCCTATCGGATATGATTGTCAGATTGCTAATAGGACCTATGCAATCCCTAAGATGCCCCATAAACCATGTCCATGAATCAGAGGTTTCAGATTTGCCAACCCCGTAAGCTATTGGCAATATCCCATTGTTAGCATCCATGGCTACTGCTAATAAGTTTACTCCAAGGTATCGACCTTTCAAATGTGCTCCGTCAACTATAATAACTGGGCGCATGCAAGTAATAAACGAACGAATCTACAAAATAATATACACAAGAAATATAATCATTTAAATGTGAAATGCATGTAACTAACAAAAATGAGTCAACAAAATTATATTGATTTACTAACCGTAGCACCAATGGCGATAAACAGCAACTCAAAGCGTCCATCTCTATCTGTTTTGATATGAGTTACCGACCCAGGATTTTTCAGCTTTAAATTGTGACAATAAGCCGGCAGTTGGGCAAACGATGCTTCTGGCGACCCCCTCAACAATTCCAAGGCATAACATTTGGCTCTCCAAGCTTGAGAATATGATATACTAATCTTGAACCGAGCATTCATGTCAGTCATAATTTCATGTCCCCGATATACCCTGCCATTCAAAAACATTAACTCAGCCAGAAAACCACCCAACACCTTTTTGTTTGCCTGTCTATGGTGAGGAAAAACTTGGGTTCTTGAACATGTATGTTTATCAATAAAAGTCCTAACTTGAAACATTTTGCAATCTTTTATTCTCTTTGCAATCATACGCCACGTACAGTTTTTGTCAATCATACACCTTGTTTCGAAACGATCTTTGCTTGATTTGTTAACTTTTAGTTGATAGCCATCTTCCACACATTTCGTATATAAAGCTATCTTCAAGTCTTCCTTTGTATCAAAACAATCATCTTTCTTGATACGAATAACTTTTGTGTAACAATCAACTGCTTTCTTTATCAACTCTTCTTCCGGTATCTGAAGTAATTCTGGCATATTCCAGTTATACGCCCGTGGCATTTTCTTTTCTTCGGGGACTTTTTCTTCTTCTTTTTCTTCTTCAGGATTATATGAATTACAGAATGGATGTTCAACATGTTCATTCACAGTCGTAACTTCCTCCTCATTATCATCAACATTACATTCTTCGGCAACGGCTGTTTCATCATCAAAATTCGGGTATTGACCAATATCAATATCATTACACGCATGGTCTGTTTCTTCTTCTGAAACATCATCAAAATCCGTGTATTGACCAATATCAAAGTCCGGATATTGACCAAGACCAAATTTCGAATACTGACTAGTACTCACAATTTTTTCTGTTGGCTCATCATCGTCTAACTGGTCAATACGAAAACCGGAATTTGGTGCTGAAAGTTGATTGGGATTTGGATTAGAGAAAGGTTGTGGGTTTTGAGAAAAACTTAGTTGATTACTACCCGCTACTGACCCAACAATACTACTTCTAGGTTCAACAACATACAATGTAACATCATCTTGTGAAACACTAATGTAAGCAATGAATCGTTCAACATCTTCATTGTCGGTTAACAAATAAACTTTACCATTTCTCTGATAAGATAGCCTAAATCCACTTAGGGGCTCTAAATTCAATTTATTTGAAACACGTAGCATTAGAGTTTCATAAGTTAACTTTTGTAAAGACAATTTTAGTTGAAGATTTATGGGTAAAGGCATATATTGTAAAACACCATTAACATTATCCCATGACCCTCCAAAACACAAATCTATCCAAACATGATCAACATTAGATGATTTCATGGTTGTAACTAAACAAACGAGATGCGAAACTAAGACCTGTTGCCGGATGGGGAAGGATGTCGTTGGATATAGGAACGGATGTCGCCGGAGAGAGTGATAGATGGAGATGGAATGAGTTGCGATTTAGGGATTTAGTTTATGATTTCAGTGTTATATACCCAAAATTTCAGTGTTGTGATTTACAGATTCTCGTTGCGATTTACGGATTATCGTTGCGATTTACAGATTCTCGTTGCGATTTACGGATTATCGTTGCGATTTACGGATACGCGTTGCGATTTACGGATTATCGTTGCGATTTACGGATACGCGTTGCGATTTACGGATACGCATTGCGATTTACGGATACGCGTTGCGATTTACGGATACACGTTGCGGTTTACGGATACGCGTTGCGATTTACGGATACGCGTTGCGATATACGGATACGCATTGCGATTTACCCATACGCGTTGCGATTTACGGATACACGTTGCGATTTACGGATACGCGTTGCGATTTATGTGTTCGCGTTGCGATTTTCATATTCGCGTTGCGATTATGGAAAATCGCAATGCGAATTTGTACTATCGCATCGCGATTTTCAAGAATCGCGTTGCGATTCTGGAAACTGATTTGCGATTCTGGGGATCGCGTTGCGATTTTTATTTCGCGTTGCGATTTTGTTGGTCATTTTGGCAAATCCAAAAAAAGTTGGTTAAAATCGTATATTATAACTTTTTTTTGGTCACTGAGGCGATTTTCTCATAAATAGCAATCTACACCAGTTTTTTTCAGTGACTTGGTGGAGGAAATTGGAGCTGCAATTTTTGATAAGGGCTGTGTTCTAAAATGGATTCCTAGAAGTTGTAATTTGGAGGCTGACAGGCTAGCTAAGCAGGGGATTGGTTGAGTGCAGATGCCCTTTTGATGTTTGTTTTCTGTTTTCCATTTGGACTGTATATGCTCTTTTTTGTATTATTTTTGCTAGTTTGGTTACCAGGACTCATCATTACTTCTTACGATCTTTCTTAGGAGGTTTTGTAGTTTTAGGGCATTGTTGGGTTTTTTGCTTTAGATAGGGGTGTTGTTCTGGTTGTATTTTATGTACTTTAGATGTGGAATGAAATCCTAAGGCACTCTTTTTCTCCTTCCAATGATTAAGGAGCTTTATTTCAAGCTCCATTAATTATGGAGGTTTTTAATGAGGCCTTCAATTCTTATCAAAAAAAAATATACACAGTTCTGCATTCAGTCCTTCATGTGAGGATCTGAATTAATCATTTTTATAGGATTCCCTCCTCGAAGAATGATTGGTTAATGGCTGGCTGATGCTTCACTTGATATCTTTTAATGAACTTATATAATTTTTTTTTCATAAATATGATAGTCTGATAAGATGACCTCATGTGGCAATACTAATTCAAAATGTCGGGGGCGTTTGGTTCTTGTTATACTTATCTAATAAAACAGGGTGTAATCTTAGATTCCGATGTTTGTTTGCAAACATTATGAGCAGCCAATAATCTCACTTTACGGGCAAGGTGTAATAAATGGCTTGATCTCATAACCTCCTTTTCTTTGGGTCATTAGGGATTACGGGTGTGATCTTAAATTTTGAACCAAAGTACCCTTTGTTTTTGCTATTTTAATCAATTTAGTCTTTTCCTTTCTAAATAAAATTTAAATCTAATTAAATACAAAATTATCTTTTTCTTGATAGTGAAATTGTGTGTCATACTTCAAAATTACAATTATTATACTGTAGTGATTTATTAGTATATTAATTATGATTATAATTATATATATGGTTGATGATGCAATTACTTTTCATGAATTATTATAATTATGATTTATAAATTTATTTCAACATCATATATTTACTTGTTACTATATAAGTTGTAATAAAAATTATAGTAATTTATCACAATGTTTTGGAAATTGAGACTAAAAACTATTGAAGGAACTAAATTTGTTTTGAAAAGATAAATTTTATAACAATGATAATTTAAACCCATTTATCTCTCAGGTACGATCAACTGCTAGAATGATATTTTCCTTTAAACCCATTGTAGCTAAATGAATCAAACAAAGTAATGTAATATCCCTTGTAATGTGAATACATTCCGTAATCCTATTTTTAGAAGTAATCTTACATTCTATGAACCATTAGCACCCTGAATGATATTTTCCTTTAAACCCATTTATCTCTCAGGTACGATCAACTGCTAGAATGTTCACCAAAACTTGGCCAGATCGTTCTCGTCTCTTGTTCTCCTCCTTTGATCCTGCCATTCAAAGGGTATATATTCTCTATTCATAGGATAGTATGGACTAATTCTATTTCCTAGACCGTGGTTTCAAAGTCTGGCTTTTTGCACAGATAATTAATGAAGAAGATGGAGCGATGCATAAGCGGCATGCTTCTCCTTCTCTCCGTGAGAGGAATGTACAGAGTTCATTTAACACTCAAATGTCATCTACTTCAAATATACCTGGATATGGAACATCTGGTATAGTTGCAATGGACAGAACTTCTAGTTTATCTTCAGGGATGTCCTTTTCTTCTGGGATGAATTTATCCCAATCAAAACCCCTTGGTAAAGCAGCTAACCGTACTCTGGAGAGTGTGTTACACGCAAGCAAACAGAAAGTCAGTGCCATTGAAAATATGCTTAGAGGTCTGGACATATCCGAAAAACAGAGGTCAACAAGTTTGGATCTAGGTATTGAATGGATTTTCCGTTTTACTTGATATAAATTAGAATTCTTATTTTGATGAGGTTTTGAAATGACGTAGTGGTATGGAAATCAATTAAAATTGTGGGCGGCTAAATTTCTCTTTTATTGCCCACTAGTGCAGGAATTGACCCTCCATCATCTCGTGATCCACCATTCCCTGCTGTTGTTCCAGTTTCTAATAGTCTCACAAGCTCTTTAGGACTAGAATCAAACACCTCCAGTGTTGGCAAAGGTAGTAACCGCAATGGTGGTCTGATTATGTCTGACATCATTTCCCAAATTCAAGCTTCCAAAGATTTAAGCAAATTATCATATAGAAGTAGTGTGGCAACTGAGTTTCTACCAGCCTTCTCATCGTACTCTGCCAAGAGGATATCTGAAAGACAAGAACGAGGTTCCTTTGAAGAGAATAGTGACTTGAGGGAACCGAGGCATTTCATAAATCCACATATTGAAAGGCAATATTTGGACATGCCTTACAGAGATGCAAGCTCTAGGGAATCACAGCACAGTTACATTCCAAACTTCCAGAGGCCGCTTTTAAGAAAGCATGTAGCTGGCCGGATGTCTGCTGGAAGGAGAAAGAGTTTTGATGATAGTCAGCTGTCACTTGGAGAGATGTCAAATTATTTTGAAGGTCCAGCTTCTCTCGGTGATGCCTTAAGTGAGGGACTCGGTCCTAATTCTGATTGGTCTGCAAGGGTAGGTGCATTTACTTATCTCCGGTCTTTGTTGCAGCAAGGCCCAAAAGGTATTCAGGAAGTGGTTCAAAATTTTGAGAAGGTAATGAAACTGTTCTTCCAGCACTTGGATGACCCCCACCATAAAGTTGCACAGGCTGCCCTTTCAACACTTGCAGATATTATTCCAGCATGTCGTAAGTCCTTTGAGAGCTACATGGAGAGGATCTTACCCCATGTGTTCTCACGCTTAATTGATCCAAAGGAGTTGGTTAGGCAACCTAGCTCAAGTACACTGGAAATTGTTAGCAAGACTTATAGCATAGATTCTCTTTTACCTGCTTTGCTGCGTTCACTTGATGAACAGCGATCACCAAAGGCAAAATTGGCTGTTATTGAGTATGCCATTAGTTCGTTCAACAATCATGATATGAATTCTGAAGGTTCTAGTAATATTGGCATCCTGAAGTTATGGCTTTCTAAATTGACGCCACTGGCCCATGATAAAAAAACTAAGCTTAAGGATGCAGCTATTACTTGCATTATATCTGTGTACACACATTTCGATCCAACTGCTGTTCTGAATTTTATTCTTAGTTTATCAGTTGAAGAACAAAATTCCTTGAGACGGACACTTAAACAGTACACACCTCGTATTGAGGTGGATCTAATAAACTTTTTGCAGAGCAAGAAAGAGAGACAGCGCACTAGGTCATCCTATGACCCGTCTGATATTGTTGGAACATCGTCTGAAGAAGGATATATTGGTGTGTCCAAGAAGAGTGTTTTACTTGGGAGGTATTCTTTTGGTTCCAATAATAGTGAAGGAGGTAGGAAATGGCATTCCACCCAGGAATCAACCCTGGTCACTGGCAGTTTTGGCCAGACAGCATCTGATGAAAACCAGGAAAACATATATCAGAACTTTCAGACCAGTCCAAATGCAGGTGTTCTTCCCTCCAAAACTAAAGAATTGTCTAATACGGCTTATTCTATGGGTCTGGATCGAACTGGCCCGGTAGAGAACTTGGAAAGTAATTTCATCTTGGAAGGTGCATCTACTCCACAACTGGAAACTAATGGTCTGAGTAGATCTGACTCTTGGGGGCTATTAATGGGGTTGTACATAATAATGAGACATTGGCCGTTTTGGATCTTAATCACCTTAAACCAGCACCTGTAAAGATTAGCTCCATCCCTGACTCCAGGCCTAGCATTCCTCAAATTCTTCACATGGTGAGTTCAGTATCATCATGTGTATTCTTCTTGTAGATGATTATGATGATTGTTTTTTCAATTGAGTTTGCTTGTAGAAAATGTGGTTGGGATTCTAAATTCCAGTAGTCTTCATTGTGTTTAAAGAATTCTCACTTGATAAATGCTCTCTCCTATGTTACTAGATCTGCAATGGGAATGATGAAAGCCCTACTGCTAGTAAGTGCAGTGCACTTGAGCAATTTATTGAAATTTCTGTGGCTGAGATCCCTCAATTTGGAACAAGGTATATACATATTTTTCATATACGTTCTATATAGTAATTTTTTTTAGAATTTTGTTTTCCTTCTGTTGGAAGTTGCTTAGCCTTGACATACTGTTATGGAAAGTGTCTTCTAGCCTTGTGTTAAATATGCTTTGCTATATTTTATTCACAACTAATTGTAATATCTAAATGTATTTATACAGTACTTCAATCAGATTTTGACAGCTGTACTTGAAGTTTTAGATGATTCTGATTCCTCAATCAGAGAACTTGCTTTGTCATTGATAGCTGAAATGCTTAAAAACCAGGTTTGCTCATAGCGTTTAATTCCATTTCTACAATGGAAGTGGAGGATTTATTGCTGGATTTTTCTAAACTGTCTGGGTGCCAGTCTACAAAACTAGAGGAGCAGTTTTCTGAACAGGAAGTTTGGCAAGCTATAGCAACCTCGGACAGTTCTAAATCTCCCGGTCCGGATGGTTTCACAATGGGTTTCTTTAAGAAATGCTGGCCAAATTTAAAGGAGCATGTATTGAAATTTTTTAATGATTTTTACTTCGGAAGAAAGTGGGAGCATGGAGTAAATCACGCCTTTATTACTGTAATTCCGAAGATTTTAAATCCGGAAAAGGTTGAAGACTATCGTCCAATTAGCCTTGTAGGAAGTTTGTATAAGATACTATCAAAAGTCCTATCCAAGAGACTAAGCGGCTGTATTGGTGACATTATCAGCCCTTTCCAGTTTGTTTTTATACCGGGGAGGCAGTTGTTGGACTGTGCCTTTATTGCAAATGAAGGGATCGATTATTGGAGAAAACAAGGACTACAAGGGGTTGTTTTTAAAGTTGACTTTCGTAGAGCGTATGACTCTGTTGAATGGCCAATATTAAACAGAGCAATGAAGGAGATGGGTTTTGGTACTAGATGGTGTTCGTGGATCTCACAGTGTCTCTCTTCTGCTTCAATTTCGGTTCTTGTGAATGGGTCTCCCTCGGAAGAGTTTCCAATGGCTAAGGGACTTAGACAAAGTTGTAGTCTCTCTCCGCTTCTTTTTAATATAGTTGGTGAGTTGTTGCATTTGATGCTCGATAAAGCAGTTGAGAAAGGTCTTTTTCAAGATTTTGTTATTGGGAATTTTGAAGATTCCTTTCGGTTATCTCATCTTCAGTTTGCCGATGATCTCATCATTTTTTTCCAAGTTTCACTTACTCAGATTAAAAATGTGAAAAGAGAGTTGAGGATTTTCAGTATTATGGCGGGGTTGCATCTAAACTTGAAGAAGAGTAAACTTTTTGGTGTTAACATTGATGAGGATATCTTATCAGATTGGGCATTGGAAGTGGGTTGTTCTGTTGATCTCTTTCCCATAGATTACTTGGGACTTCCAATCGGTGCTAAGATGAATTCTGAAGCCTTATAGGATCCAGTCTTTAAAAATTTTAACTCCAAACTAGCTGGGTGGAAAGCCTCTTGTCTTTCGTTGGCTGGCAGGACAGTTTTGTTGAAGTCTGTGTTATCTTCCCTACCAATATTTTTCCTATCATTCTTTAAAATGCCTTGCAAAGTTGGGAAGAAATTAAATTCTTTAATGGCCAGTTTTTTGTGGGGTGACAGTGCGGAAAAAAGGAAGATTCACTGGGTTAGTTGGAGTACTGTTTGTAAACCTTTGAACAGCGGTGGCCTTGGGGTTCTTGACTTGAATCTTTCTAATCGAGCATTGTTGGGAAAATGGGTGTGGAAGTTTGCAAACGAAAAGAATTCCCTATGGAAAAGAGTGTTATGTAGCAAGCAAAAGGTTAGTTGCAATGCTATGTCTATTAGTAAGGCTATCTCTCCAAAATCTTCTTGGAATTTGAGAAGTATTGCTAATAATATTTTGAAGAATGATTCGGGGGGAGAGTGTCTCAGATCTTTTTCGAAGTTACAAGTAGGAAATGGAAAGTCCATATCATTTTGGATTGATCCATGGGTGGATGAGGTTCCTCTAAAAAATCTTTTCCCTAGAATTTTTGCACTCTCTACTAACAAATGGGGTAAGGTTGTTGAATTTGGAAGTTTTGAGTTGAATGGTTGGGTATGGAACATTCTTACTAGGAGGAATTTGTCGGATTGGGAATTGGATCAATGGATGGATTTGATGGTGAAATTAAAGGATATAAAACTCGTTGATTCGGTTGAAGACTTTCTCTCTTGGTCTGCAAGTGGTGATGGGTTATTCTCAGTAAAATCTTGCAGGAAAGATCTTGGAGGGGAAGATGGGGGTAATGATTTGTGGTCAAAAGGGGTGTGGTTGGGTTTGTCACCGCCTCGTGTTGAAGCTTTTCTTTGGCAGTTAGCTCATCAGAAAGTTGCAGTTAAAGTGGAGTTAGCGAGAAGAGGAATGTCTTTAGAAGAAGATATCCTCTGTCCGTTTTGCAAGGAACATGAGAAATCAGTGCAACACTTGTTTATTACGTGTTTTGTAGTGTGGGAATTATGGAATTTAGTGGTTAGATTCTGGGATTTATCTATAGCGTTACCACAGGACTCTGCTTCTTTATTTATCTCGTGGGGGAATTTGAGGGTGAATTCATTGATTTGGAAGTTTATCCCGGGAGTTGTTTTTTGGTTTATTTGGAAAGCAAGGAATGCGATTGTGTTTGAAGGATTAATCCTTGATAGGCTGTCTCTCTTTTTCCTCGTGAGATTTAGGCTATCCAAATGGTTCCTAGCTAAGTATCCTAAATTCCATATACAAGAGGATATGCTTATTGGGGATCCGTCACTTGCTGATGGTATTTTTGTTCCTAAACCTAAGGATTATTCTATGATTTGCTGGCTCCCTCCCCCTGTTGATTTCTTGAAGATGAATGTTGATGGAGCTGTGAGGTTAAATGACTCGGCTGGAGGTATTGGAGGCATTTTAAGAGACTGGAATAGTTGTACTCTTCTGACTTTTTTAGAGAATATTGGCCAAGGTCCTCCACCAGTTGCTGAATTAAAGGCTATTAAAAGAGGCATTGAAATTTTTTTGGCATCACGTTGGTCTGCTGTCAGTAGGTTGGTTGTTGAGAGTGATTGCAAGTCAGCTGTGGAGTGGATCCATTCCCCCTCTTTGGCTCCAGTTTTCATATTGCCTTTAGTTAAAGAAATTTTGTTGATCATTTCTGAAAAGGTGGTGTTAATTAGGTTGATTCCAAGGGCTTGTAATGGGGAGGCAGATAGTTTAGCAAAGAAGGGGATAGGTTGATTATATGATTTTAGTTGTATGTTTCATTTTATGGTCAGTAGGATTTTGAAGTAGGTGAAGTTGTTAAGTCTTATGTAATCTCTTCGGATGTAATTGTTAAGGCTTATGTAATTCTGGTTAAGTAATAAAATGAGGCACTCTTTTCCTCCCTCCACTACTTGATCCTTTCTGTTAGGAAAGGGTTATCTATGAGGGAGGTTTTTAATGAGGCCTCCTATTTCTATCAAAAAAAAATGATTCCAGAAAGATGCTATGGAAGATTCTGTTGAAATAGTAATCGAGAAGCTACTTCATGTAACAAAGGATATTGTTCCAAAAGTAATTTACTTCCCTCAAACTTTCCCTTTGAAAATATTCTTGCTCCTCTTCCCCCCTCTCAATTGTCTGCTCCATGTTCAGGTTTCAAATGAAGCTGAGCACTGCTTGAACACTGTGCTGTCTCAGTATGATCCATTCAGATCTTTAAGTGTAAGTGGATTCCCCTTGGAGGTCTGATTTGTTTGCCCTACTAGAGAGAGTTTTGACTTTTCCCCCTCTGGTTTCCACTTAATTAAGTACTGATGTTGTAAAATGATTGGGGTTGCAGGTTATTGTACCTTTATTAGTTACTGAAGATGAGAAGACTCTAGTTATTTGCATAAACCGTTTAACAATGGTATTATTCTGAATGTTAGTGGGAGTTATAATTAATAATTTGATCTTCCCTCTACCACTTTCTGGCTGAGATTCTTAATGCAAGGAGTCAAGGACATATGCATATAGGTTTTTTAATTTTTAGTGATTGCATGAGACTTTGTATATGAATGGTTACCACTTTGTATTCTTGCTTTACACTGTTATTTGTTCTGCACATCGAGGGCATGAATAGTGGAGGCTAAAACTAATATGCTAAACATGGATACGGTTGCGGATGTTGTAATGAGAAGGGAAAGAGGTAGGGTGAGGGAGGGTGGTGAAGGAAGAATCTATTTGATGATCAAGGGGGATTTTCTTGTCAAAAGCCTATTATTTGATTGTGACCATTGTTTTACTGTTTATTAGACTAGGAGGTTTGTACATTTAAACAGAATCCGGCTTGTGTAAAGGAAATCCTGTCTATTTGGATTGGACTTTTATTTACTTCCTTTGTTTGTTTCATTGTTCTTACAGATAATCTTTTCCAGTTAATTTTAAGTGATGACCATATCTATATATTTCTAAGCTCTTTGTTTTTCTTTTCAGCTTGTGGGTGGGCTATCACAGGAGGAACTAATGGCTCAGTTGCCCTCGTTTTTGCCTGCTCTTTTTGAAGCTTTTGGAAGCCAGAGTGCAGATGTCCGGAAGGTAATATTTATTTTCTGGCATGTTTTTCTTTCTTGCTTGATAAATTTATTCTTATTATTTAATACCTCAAATTTTGGTTTTCATATGTTGGAGAAAGTAGAAAGAAAAAGAGGGGTTAGGGGTGGATGGGGTGGGGGTGGAGTCAGTTGAGAGAAAGGAGAAAATCAATCATCTGGTGGAAGATAATACTTTCTTGCC